TGTTTGAATGTGGTGGAATACTTCTCGTTTCTTTGAACGTTTGATTGCAGTAATTTAAATCTTCAAGCATTTTCAGTCATTTTATCGACAAAAAATAACATGGTTACCTTGTTTTGAGTAAGGCAAAAGAATTGAATTGATTCTCAATAACTTTCGATTGCCGCTATTGTAAATATCACATGAATTAAAGTGATTTTCACAAACAATAACAGAATTTCCACACTTTATTTCCTTCCCGTCATTCGAGGTTTGTTTAAGATAGGAAATTTAAAATAACTAATGTTTTTAGTTTTCATTATTTTATCTAAAATTCGGCAATAACTCCAATTACCAAAATCATGTTAAACCATGAAAATTTTCTAAAGAATTGACACAGACGGAGTGGGACGCTCATTAAAATGCATGGAAAACAAATATCGCGTACAGTAACTATTTCCGCCGGCGTTTATTATACATACTTTTTCCTCAGTGAATAAATTTTACAAAAAAAATTATTGACAGTTGTCATAAACTGATATTCATTTCGAATTGAATGAAGAATAACGAATTTTTTATTTAAAAAAATCCGATACAATTGAATACCGAACGATCCTCGAGATCTTCACGCATCCATCATTTTTACAACGCGCTTTAAGGGGTTGATTCTGTCCCACCAGATCGAAATAGCTTGTAAGATAAATTGTTTGAAACGGAGTTAGTTTTACTTTTATTCGAGGTGCCTAGATACAAAATTTGGCTTAAAAATCTTAACAAAAAAACAAGATTGCGCGTGCGAAATAGTTATTTACCTAACAAGTTCGGTAAGTTAATTTTCCCGCATGAGCACTTTGTTTGCAGCACGACCGTAGGGAGTGCTGCATTTAGTGCGAATGCGGGAAAATTCTTTCCGAAAGAGTTAGGTACAATATTTTTTGTAACGAATTGCGTAAAAAAAGGTCAAAATTAATAAAGTTTTGTAAATTAGTTTTTTTTTAATCATGAGTTGGTAACACAATCATATGTTTGGTTGGTAACATAATTTTGTAACTACCCACTTACACTTTTAATAATGCACTGGTCACATTTAAAACTTCCACATCTTTGGTTAATACAATGCGATCAAAAATGAGTTGCCGTCGAGTCACCTTTGGAATTTTTGTTTACATGGGAAATCGTACTTAACTTGAACTTCCAAAGGCGACTCGACAGCAACTCATTTTTGATCGCCCGTTACATATTTTGCCTTTGCAATGAGTGCTACTACTGGTCACGGCATTGCATCGTTTGCACTGAATATCTTGAGTTGCGTAAATACACTCGTTACATTTAAAATCCTTGGAAGCTTTGTGTGTGTTAATATGACGTGCTTTCTTAAACTGCATATGCGAATAGTTGCAGAATATCACTGGTCACATTTTAAGACGTTTTAACAATAAATTTTACTTTTTCTTGAGTTCCAATTCTGAAAAATAATTTGATTGCGTTATAAGTTCTTGTTTATATATTTACGTAAAACTTAGTGTACGTCTGTTTCCGATTAATCGCACTAAAAATACCCTCAACCAACGGTTTAATTGATTTTACAGCAGATGACAGTTAACCATGACATGACGTTCGTTGACTTCAATAAGTACTACCAACCGAAGAACGCACATAACCCCTTCTCTCCAGCGGAAACTAAAAAACACCGCGATGCGGGAAAGTCGTTTTCCCGTGCATCGAGGATGCTTGGAAACATTATCTTTCCATTCAATGAGTACAAAAAACAATTTTTTCTATTTCGATGTGGAAACAATACCGAAACCGTACTTGATTGGGCCAGTTTGCGTGCGTTTCTAGACAGAAATGATGCTGAAAGAAATAGAAACGCATTATTTTTTTTATTTTGTTGGATTGGTACCCCTCGCTTTTTAGCCGTCATCGGTATCCGTCAAATCAAAACTAAACATAACCTGTAAAGTGTAAATAAAGTACGAGAGAGGAATTTTTTACTAAATTTCAAATAAACAAAGGTATGACAATTTATTGTGAATAACATTTTGTAATAATTACTTTTCAGTGATAGTACAATTATTGTACACCTTAATCGTAACAACACTATTCTCGGCTGCATGTACTGATATCCCAGCTAAATGGTCTATTTCGGTAGTTGTATTACTGATCATAGTTTTTTGCAGTGGCGGACCTTGTAAAGTCGAAGTCGAAGGTTGTGAATTACTGAGCATTTCCGCTACAACCAACTTTTTCTTTTGAGACTGCTCAATATAGCCTTCGGCTACAGCTGACGATTTCCAGCCTCCGTGTTGTTTGACAGTAATCAAATCACCACCTTGATTCGCCAAATGCGAAGCAGAAGATCTTCTAAAGCAATGACCGGTGAATGACTCTGGATTAGGAAGATTTAAAAATGTCGCAATTGTTCGAGGAACTTGACCAATTGTATTAATTCCGATTGGTTGCACGGTACAATATCCATTGCGATAATTAATAAACAGCCTTTCATGTGTTATTTGTTGAGGTCGAAGATTGATATACTCCTGCACAAGTTTAACCCAACGTGGATTTGAAATCGCAAATTGTCTTTGGATGTTATTTTTTGTTTTTGTTATTCGTATCAAAATATTGTTATCTGTATGGGCAATATCTGTCATATGTATGTTTAGTAATTCTTCTCTTCGAGAGGCACCAGAATAACCGATTATGAGTAATACCTAAAGAGAATTTTATTAATATACCCACTACTAATTTGAAGAGAGCCACCTGCAGTTCGTGCCGTTTTAAAGTGGCAAGCTGCAAAGGTTAGATTCAGGTAGGGAACAAGGGAAGATGACGATCGTTTGAACTTGCCTAGTTTTTACAAAGTTTACATGATGTACCAAATTGCAAGTCGTGCCACAGCGAACTAATTTAAAACGACTCGACTCTGTTTAGGTGTACATAGTAATACAGCTTAGATTGTTGAAGACGTTTGCTTTGGTAAATCTAATTGATGCTTAATAAAAAATGCAGACCTACCTTCATAGCTAAATATTTTTCATCGGGTGCGATATTTAGAAATTGTTCAATATGCTCTAAATCTAGAATCTGAGATTTTTTGGGGCGGTACCCTTCAGAGAGACGTTTAAGCAATGCCTTGAGTTTGCAGTACTTCGAAATGTCGATATTTTGATTAATGTTGATCATGCTTCTTAATTTTGAATATATACTCCAAAGGGTAGAACTTTTTTTATTTTTACTTAGCGTAGTAAAATATGCCAGCAGTACATTCTCGCTTACTTTTTCAATTCCCTTCTCGGCCAGCCAGTTTTCAAAAATGTTGTACTCCTTCTCGTACTTTACTTTTGATTTTACAGGAAGTAAATTTAACGTCGCTTCATTGGCAATCTCTTGGATCTCTGGGAGAGTACAAGAGACGTGTTTGTCATCCGTATTCATCATAACTGCCGCAAAGTGGAATTATGACCAAATAATTAAAAGTTTGTTTGAAAGTTTGAAAATACAGGAATCAGGTTAGCCAACGTGAAAATAAATGAACTGTGTCTATTACCAACATACACTGAATGATAGTTTAAAATTACCTAACAACGCCTAAAGGGAATATTTAAAATTTGTATAATTTATTATTTAAAAGTCGAAATAGAAAAAATAGTATAAAGCACACGTGTCATTTGTCTACTTGTCGCACTCGGCTTTTGCCGCATTCGCCGCTACGCGGCTTATGCGGCAAACTACCTCGTGCGACAATCTTCGTCAAATAACACTTGTACTTTAATATACTATTTTGATTCGGCGTTAGTTTTACATTTACTCGAGGTGCCTGCATATTAAATTTCAATTAAATATCTTAACAAATAAAGAAAATTGGGATTGCGCAAATACAAAAGTTGGGTTGCGCATGCGCAATTTTTTTTTATTCTTCTGAATAGTTACCTGGGGCTTAAGGGACATTTACTAACACAGAAAACCGGGCATTCACATGTTCTTTGTAACAAGAATTCTAAAAGAAGTCCTTTTTTTTGGTGATTTGAGCAGTTTGTGGGCTGTAATTTTTTTCCCCGTTACTCTACGTAGCTGAAAAACAATAGCGACCTGTCTTATATCCTTAAGAACGGCTGTTTCAATTTTCAAAGCGATCAGACTCTTCTATACAAAGTTATTCAGTTAAGAGTTATCGTGCACACGGACAGACGGCAATACAAAATTATAAACAATCTCGAGGATCGTTAATAATGAGAAATACAACTGAAAATGAACTAATTCGTATATCATTAGATAAAGAAAAAAAATCTTCTTTCGATTGGTGCATTATAAACCCGCTAAAACCTAAATTATCATGGGGAGCAACGATTTGCAAAAGACCTTTTTCCCATGTTAATTACCTATGTTCGTTTTTGAAATATTTTTATTTTATGCCTGTGTATATAATAATTTAGAGGTACTTTTAGCAGAGCAATGAAGCAGCTGCGCTCCGAAAATCGTACCTTCCAGCGTGTCTACCGAGACCTTAACAACGTCACGCGATCGATAGACCATTTTTTTTTTGGTTTCTTATGACATTCACTTTTTCCAACAAAAATTTCATCTTTATAGAAATAAGTTCAATCGAATAATTTTTTATGAATCTTGCGTGGGTGGTAGACTTGTGATAGTAACGCTTCCAGTTCGGTAGACTATTACCATACTTCATTTTTAGGTACAAATTTTCATTCTTGTAGAAATGAGGCGTGTACAATTGTACATATTATTTATTAATATGTTCTGAATATTGTTGCAAATTTAGGCAACACCGCCGACGCGGTAGACTACCGTTTTGTTTACTTGTACTATCAAAACGATAAAATGGCAGAATATCAGCTTTGTAGAAATGAGTGCAGAAAAAATGTCGCTGCCTCTTGGACTATTCCATGGCCTGCGTTGGTGTGATTTTCATGTGACTCCCAGACTCGTGTAGGTTTGCTCTGCCCTGCGCATGGCCAGTAGTCTTTAGGTTATAAATAAGCAAACCATGTGATAATTAGTATTTAATCACTAAATACCATGACCGATGCGCATATACAACAAACTGCACAGCAAGACATAATAATAAATAACAGAAAAAATATGTAATTTAATGTGAGTAACCAAAATGCTAAGAGGTAAGCGGTTTTGTTGCAGTAAAGCTGGTTACTAGTTTCTTGGTAGGGAGGTTCATAAATACTATAAATCCAAACGGATCCTGAAATTTCACACACTTTATAATCCACGCTAAATTCCTTTAACTTACCTGTAATCATCCATACGAACTCAATTATCAATAGAGCGTACACGAGCTTCTCTATAAGGACGTTTTCGAAAAACTTATAATTTACAACAGGAAGTAATTTGGTAATTATTCCCAAAGCACCTACAATATCATTGTGATAATGATACAAACAGTACAGGTTACCTACCAGCCACAGCTAAATATACGGGAATAATCGGCTTTATTGGACAATCCTTCGTTGTGGACACACCAACAATAAACATGACGATATTTAGTATTAAGTAAACTATAACCGTTGTGCCTATGGCCGCTGAAATTTGATGCCTTTAGACTCTGGAATCCTCCTGAGTGACCTTACGTTTTTGCACTTTTAACCTGAACTCATCAACATTAGTTCTTATTTCTGATTCTTGCTGTAGTTTTGATGCATTGTTTAATGGAGGAGGACTAAATGCCGGTACTGACTGATTTGACGATTGCATCGTTTCCGAAACACCTGTAAATGATCAGTCAATTATAGTAACTGCAAATAATATCAATTAAGACAAATTAGTGGAGGCAGGGTTACTATTTCTGCAATGAACTACTCTCACAGTAAATACACTGGGAGAAACGCTTTACTTTTCATATTTTGGCAGGTTATGTTTTTTTATTAATTCATATTAGTAGCCATATTACTTAGCTTGTTGATAATGTGATAAGGAAAAGGTAGGGAAAATGACCATGCCCTTACCAACCGTTCTTCACAATTATCAAAGGAAATCAAATTCTAACGTAGCGGACGTTAATAGCAGTTCCAACACGTAACTAAATAAAAAATGTAATTCAAACACTACACGACACTTTCTGATAAGATAGCTCACTAACTGATCCAAGTATGTGCACATTCCAATTATAAACTTTTCAAGTTTGAATCATGGATACATACGTAAACATCCCCGAACGGTTTAATCACAGGTGTAAATATACCTACTTCAGATAAGCTCACGGAAATCGAGAAATGTAAATTGTACTCTTGTAGCTGGCGCCACTTAACGTTGAAATTTATAATCATGTTAATTATGCGATTCAGGTTTGAGACTCTGCTTAAGCATGATTGAATTGCTAAGCAAAGGTCGGGAAAAGAAGCTAGAAAAAAACAACACGAAACTCAAAGCAGTGTACGAGAAGGCCAACACAAAATGGAAGAAACCCCGAACGATTTAAAAAGGAATGCTGCGAATTAATTAGCAGCGTAGAATTAGGAATGGAAAAAATCGTCAAAAACTACAACACCAAACCAGGGGGATGCTAGCAGATTTGAACCAAGAAGAAATTGGAATATTGAGTGTAGATAGATATTCGAAAAAAAAATAAATTTAAAAATCCAAGAAGTAAACAAACGGAATCTTTGGAGAAACTCCAAGAGAAAATCAGGGACCACTGATATTGGAAATCTCAAGGCAAAATTCGAAGAAAACCCAGCTTTGTGAGAGAGATCTGCCACCACAATAATTTACAAGGCTAAGGCTTTATAACAGAAGCGGATCTTCATAATCAAAGAAGATTTTCTGCGACAATATTGGTCTGAAGATATTCAAGATAAGATACGAATCCGGCTAGCTATACCCCAAAACGCCAATTGTACGGACCGTTGTGTTGTCAATATACAGATCATGTTTGGACATTTCCCTGATTTTAATTGGAACAGGAGCCAAGACTATTGAACAGTCAATTTCAATCTTGGAGCGCATTCATGTTTCAAATTTTGAACCAAGAACGAGATCCAAGACGGCAAGAAGATTAGTGAATGCAGTGGTGAGATGCAGGAGAGGGAGCATACGAATACGCTACCACAACGATCAATCAGAAGACGAATTTAAGATACTTATGAAGAGAAAAAATTGACAAAAAGTTGCATGTTTCAATAAAGAACCAATTGAAGAAGAGTAATGTATGGGAATGAGAAGAAAGATTCGAAATTGCAAAAAGAGGACCCTCAAAATTCAAGTATGATTTTTGTTATCGGCTTGTGTGATGGGCCTGATGTGTTTGTTTTATGTGGGGGTATCATATATTTGTTAAATTTGTGCTAACACAACTAGACAGGTTTGTTACTTGACGATTATGTGCCATGGATTTGACTTAATTTTTGGCGGGAGTTTTGATTTTTGGTTTTTAGTTGTGCGGTCGCTTCTCGACTGCATCCTGGATTATTACAGTAGAAGTTTGAAGTTATCAAGTTGTGTGTAAAAAAAAACGATATTCCGTACTTTTCCATTGTGCATCTAATTTTTTTAGCGCATTTTCTAACTCATGTTGGAAGGCGCTATACTGGCCTTTTTCTCCGTCCGTCCGTCCGAGGCCATTACTACTCCTACAGTTTTCAAGATAGTTCGTTCTTTGTGCATTCGGAAGCTTATAGCTCTGGCTCCTGAACTATGAAAATCTTGACGATTAATGTGCCCATGCTCAGGTTGCGCAGTGTCGACTTTCTTGTTTATAGAGATATTTTTTTGAAATGTTAATCACATATGCTTCTAGTAAAGACAAGCATATCTCAGATTGTAAAAACCATATGTGCGCATGCACAAAATATGCTATGTTAACTTTCTGATATATAGAGACGTTTTAACCAAGGATTCTTCTAGTAAAGTCAAACATATGGCATATTTTAAACATCAAGCGTGCGCATACGCTGTGTCAAATTTGTTGTTTATAAGAATACTAGCTTTTCCCCCGCGACTTCGTACTGTCGATTTTGACGGATATATGATAACGGAAACCCAACGTATATAGAATGTAAAATATCAACATGACTTGGCGCATGTATCTATCGCGGTACGCGAAATAGCAGATTGCGACGTCAATGAAAAAAGAAGTTTGAAAAAAATCCCATAATCCGATCGGGCACAATAAACCATCTGGGGACCCGCAGAGACACAACAAAATTTGATCAAAATCCGTACGTCAGAAGAATGTTATATGTAAAGATTTATACCATAACTTATTTTCCTTCTTCCTCCGACACATGACTAGTACGTGACATAACCTTTCGGGAAGTTTAAATTAAGGGAAGGCGAACATCTTTTTTTCATTTTTCTTCCTTTGTTTCTCTATCTCATTCCGTAAAAATCCAATATGGCGTCCATAAGAAATACAAAAAATAGTAGCTTGTAGCTTCTACATCTAGCGTAATATGGTAGTTTGGGTAACAGATTCAGATTCTCTGAAAAAAGTGCCCATAGAAGGTGGCAAGTGGGACCGGCTATTTCGGACCATTTAAGCTAGCGAAAATGTAAATTGACATTTTTAGTTTTTCAGTGACATCTCGGTTATTTTCAAAGATTTTTCAAAAATTTCAAGAGCGTTGTTTAGTCACAAAAAGGGACAAGTTTGTTGTTAACTACACCTACACATACTCACCCAATGCTGAGTCACGAATTTGAACACCCTGTACGTTAGGCTTAAAGGATGTCAAAAACGTTTTCTTTGTTAAAATTTGAGCTTTTGCTAGATGTTCTGTCAAGAATTTGGCATCTGGTTTTAATATTTAAAAATATGCTTAAAAAGACAAAGTAGCACAGAAAATACGAAAACGTCTCTTGAAACATTTTAAAGTATTACACTTTCTTCCATCAAGTGCCGCTCCTATTTCCACAATAAAAAATAAAAACTGTTTAGAACTTCTATAACCGTAGGTTGGAAATATGGGAAGCATCGCGTTTAGTGCCAAATAATTGTTGTAACAAGTAGCTTATAAGTAGAAATGAATTTTTTTATAATTTAAATGCGAGTATAGAACTCGCAAAAGTGCAAAAAAGTCTTGGAGAACGCATTAGAGCACTCTGGAAACGGCCTTAAAAACACTGGAAGATTTAATATTATAAAAGGAATCTCAAAGTGCACAGCATTTTTTCGCACGCAGAAAACACGCTAAAAGGCTATGGAAGTGATCGAATGCCGCAAAAGGTGCTTTAGAACTTACCAGTACTTTCTAGATCCTTTTCAAAGAACAAGTGCGTAGCCAGTTCCAGAAAGCCCGCACAGCAGAGCTCTGATAAAAGAATGTGGAAAGGGCCTTACCGCATTTTAATATATGGAACGAATTAGAAATGGTCTATGGGTTCTAGAAAAGTTCTGGAAATGGTTCAGGGATTTGTAAAGGGACTGAAAGTGTCCCTCTCCAAAGCTTTTTAGTGTGTGTCGGCGTGCTTTAGAATGATGCAACGGTTTATTTCCTCCATTATTATTGTTTACGGTTTATTACTTGGTGAACAACCCCTGTAACTTTTGAAGCGGGTTGATAGATGGCTCAATCTATTGATGGAATGTATCCACGCAATTTTTCCGCCCAGATTGCCAGCGCCTTGATTTTTGGTTGTCGATTGTCACTTCTTTTCCTTCGTAAGCCGTATCGAAGTATACGTCGATTTAAAAAAAACAGTTGAAAGTGTAAGGTAGAACGCATGGAATTCTAATTGCCATCTTCCGAAGATGTTGATCTCTGGCGATTGAACTCATAATTTAGGAATTCCGAAGTAATTAGTTTGGACGGAGTTCATCTGTGCCCCTAGTGAGGTTATACATTTGCGTTCTTCCCTTTTTATCGTAAGTACTATAAAAGAGATGAAATACGTACTCTAGAAGCATGATATAAAGCTCCGGAAAGCTTTTTATTGTATTTCGAGGTATTTAATTGCTTATAAGACTCTAGAAAGTGTTTAGAAGGCTTTTCAGAATTTTCTAAGTGGTTATTTCCAGAGGTTTTAAGTGTAAGTCTATGAATTCCTTCGGGAGTGTTCGAAAGCCTTCTTAGGTGTTAATATTTTCCTAGTTTCCTAGTCTATTTTTTGTAGTTTTCGTTGGTGCTACCGTGCCTCATATTTGCGAACCTCTATGCACTTCCTCGGAGGTAGCGTTTGATTAAGTTATCCTTTAACTTATTTATTATCAGATGTATCAAAACACGCAGAAATTGCTTCTATGTGAATATTGAATACTCACTGCTGAGGTGTGATTGTGTGGTAATAGTTTATTTTTACACGCTCAAAGCTACAAGATATGATATACCGAATATACGTAAACATACAATCATAAGCTTGCAGAGGAAATAGTTCAATTAGTTGATACCATTGCGCACGTAAATATACAACAAAAAACACAGCAGGGAATGAGAATGGATAGCAGCAAAAATATGTAATGTAATGTCAGCAACCAAAATGCCAAAAGGTACGCGGTCTTGTTGCAGTGAGGCTGATCGGTGATAGGCTTGTAGGGAGGTTCATAGATGCTATAAATCCAAACGGACCCTGAAATTTTACACATGTAGTTTCACGCCTACATCGACGTTCCTAACCTACCTAAAATCATCCATATGAATTCGATTATAAACAGAGCGTACACGACGCGTTCTATTAAGGTGTTATTGAAAAACTTCATGTTGACGATGGGAAGTATCTTGGTAACAATCCCCAGCGCACCTACAAATCATTACAGTAATGATAGCAGGACCCTCGTGTCCAGAACATACCAGCGACTGCTAAGTATATGGGAATAATCGGCTTTATTGGACAGTCTTTCGTTGTGGCCACACCGACACAAAACATGACGATGTTTAGTATTAAGAACACTATAAGGCCTGTGCTCACAGCCGCTGAAACCTCATGATATTAGCTTGAACGGTCTCGTCGTGTAAAACTTACGTTTTTGCACTTTTTCTCTTAACTCATCGACCTGGCTCTTCACCTGTGAATCTTGTCGGTTTATGCCCGCCTCGAGCGGTTGCCTTTGCATATTTAGCGGCGCCTGCTCTTGAGGTGGTGATGATGCCATGACGGTATATTTTGACTAGAACTTCCTGTAAATTACGTAAAATTAGTTACGAAGTAACGCGCTTGTAAAATCAAATGCAAGAATCTCGCCGACGCAAAACATTCATAAACTATAACCAAAAAAGGAACTAATTTTGCAGCACCGTGTGTTTTAAAGGCCTCTATTACATACCAAAAACCTTCATCCATAATATGCATTTTCCAGGTTTTCCACAAAATGGTTAGGGATAAATGGAAACGAATTTCTCTGTGTTGATTCCGAAGGAGGTACATGGTTTGTTTTTGGGTATCCCATTTTTAAATTTCTTCGAAGTTGCCCCCCTCCCTCATATTTTGAAAATGAATTATTGGAACTGTATGATTATCAAGAGTGCCACCTTTGTGTCACCTTTGGAATTTTTGTTTACATGGGAAATCGTAGGTACGTAACTTGAACTTCCAAAGGCGCCTCGCCGTCGCTCATTTTTGATCGCCCGTTACCTTTTAAAAAGACAGAAAATTATCAAAACTAGTGCCAGTACCAATGAGAATCGTTGGAAAGTGAAAACAAAATTGAGCACATGCAATCGGGGTGAGTTTTTAGGGGGTAAAGTAGTTTATTTTAATGAAATTGTCGCTGGTTTTGCAACTCTGTGCTGGTGGTACAGACGCTAGCGCCCCGATGCTCCATTTTTAGCGCATTTCCACAAAAAAAAATGCGCTATTGTGGCCACTTTGTCCGTCCGTCCGTCCGCTCGTTTTGCGACGCTACTAGCTCTTTATCTTAAGAGTTTTTTCGCTATTTGGTTCGTTATGGTGTCGAGTCTTGTACCAAGGAAGGAATTTTTTCTGTACCGCTTACAAAAAAAGTTATTGTAAAAAAAACAAATAGTTATTTAGTTATTTGTTTCATTAGTACAAAAATGTCAGTTTTCGGGACGAGGAAGATAGTTGCTGGACGACGCGTTAGCGGAGTCCAGCAACCTTCCGAGTCCCGAAAACGCATTTTTTGTACGAATAAAACATAAAATTTTTTCTCCAACCCCCTTTACTTCAAATTATATTCCAATTTAGATTCAGTTACAGTTTCACTACTATAGTATAAGAACTTCTGCTTTATTGTCCTCACGTGTCATGCCACTCTAGTTTTTAGGTTAACTTATAACCTATTCGTTTTTACCTCTTACTTCTCACCTCTCGCGACTTTGTAGGGAGCAAATCTTGAGGTAGCATGTTCTGCCGTTTCTATAATCTCTGACGGAGTGCAATCCATGTCGCTATCAGTTTCAGTCATTTTATTATATACACAATTAATATTGTTATATTTTGTATTGAAATAAAAAACTTACCATACAGTTTTTCAATTAAAATTAATTGCAATTAACTTTTTCAAATTTTGAATTCAAAATGACAGATAATAGTGCAATGGGTCTGAAGTAGATGGCGTTACGCGCGACGGCGGGTTGTCTACGTATTAAAATTACGTTCACGGAATATGTAAATTACGTTACACATGGTTTAAATAAAAATAGCGAGCGTAAATCATTTTCAATACATGTACATACGTATAGGTAACATCATTATTTGCATTGAAACTGCAAAAATATTTGATTTGTATGTATAGAAATATCTTACAACCTGCAATGTAAAACGATCTCAATGTGACATATCTCCGTGATTGTAATTTTTTAATTGGCCAACTTTCAAGGTCAATTTCTTTTTGGTACTAGGACCAAAAGTATCTACTTTTAGTACAGTTGCCATGGTGAAAGCGATTAATCCGCAAAACGTCAATTTTACGTACCGAACACTGTCACAAAATAGCGTCTTATTCAGGTGGTTGGAGAAAAAAGTTATTGTAAAAAAAACAAAAAACCGTTTTTTACATGTTCCATAATTTTACACTTTTGCCGTTTATTAACGATCCTAGAGATCGTTTATAATTTTGCATTGCTATCTGTCGGCTGCCGGTTGGTCTCTCCGTCTGTTCCTTTGTCTGTCTATCCATCTATCTGTCCGTGTGAACGATAACTTTGTTTAGAAATGTTCGATCGCTTTTACATCTCCGTTAGTTATGAACTGAATTGCATGAAATTCCATATGGGCATAGCTTTAGCCATATAATACGCAATGCCAAAAGTTGAATCGAATCGATTCAAAATTCACAGTGCCCTTTTCGCATCTCGACCATTTATAAACCGAATTGCAAACTTTTTACTTATAAAAGTATTTGAATGAAATTTGATACATAGGCACTTGGAATAAAGGAAAATCAAACGCCAATTTCAAAATTTGGTTTTGCGCATGCGCAGTGCCAACTTTTTTATTTATGGAAGAATTTAAACGAAATTTGATACATAAGCACTTCGAATAAAGGAAAATCAAACGCCAATTTCAAAATTAGGTTTTGCGCATGCGCAGTGCCAACTTTTTTATTTATGGAAGAATTTAAACGAAATTTGATACATAGGCACTTGGGATAAAGGAAAATCAAACGCCAATTTCAAAATTTGGTTTTGCGCATGCGCAGTGCCAACTTTTTTATTTATGGAAGAATTTAAACGAAATTTGATACATAGGCACTTGGGATAAAGGAAAATCAAACGCCAGTTTCAAAATTTGGCTTTGCGCATGCGCAGTGCCAACTTTTTTATTTATGGAAGAATTTAAATGAAATGTGATACATAGGCACTTGGAAAAAAGGAAAATCTAGCGCTAGTTTCAAAATTTTATTTTGCGAATGCGCAGTGCCAACTTTTTTATCTATGGAACTATTTAAGTGAAATTTGATACTTAGGCGCTTGGAACAAAGGAAAATCTAACATTAGTTTCAAAATTTAGGTTTGCGCATGCGCAGTTCCAACTTTCCTATTTAGAAAAGCATTGAAATGAAATTCTTCTCATAAACTGAAATTGAAGTAGCACGTCAAAAATGGATTGCCCATGTGCAACGCTATCTTTCATATTTGTGGCCGGATTTTTACGATTTTAACAGAAGTTGCATCTTACAAATGGGAAATGAATGCAAGTGGAAATGCGCTTTATGTAAATCGTTTACGATTACTTTTTAACTTGTTGGTGTTTAGACGGAAGTAACGTCTATATGATGTTTAAACAACAGTATGTATTTATAAAATTACAAATAAAATAAATACAATTCATATGTTCATAATAGAATTTATATATTTAAATTTTGTATATATGTACAATAGGGAAAAAAACAATGGCAACTATCATCACTATCGGCACTAATGGCTGTATGCACCGAAAAAGTTTAAGAGGGCTTAGTTTAAGTGCGGCTTAATATCCATGGTAACGATTATTGGAACGATGGTTGCCGTGGATTCTAAGCTAGGCTTAAGCTAAGCTCACCTTAAATTTTTTCGGTGCATACGGCCATAAATAATACTTTTTGTAAGACTGTCCAAAGCATTTGCCACATTTCACGCTGCCTTTTAGATTGTTCCGGTGATAAGAACCCAAACAACTGCATCCTAAAATAACAAAGATTCGAGGTTTAATTATTATTATACTGAGATAAAGACCTATCCCTCGACCTATCCTGTTTTTGCAGTTACCAACAATTTACTTTGTTAATGCGTACTTTAGTGGTTCCCAACTCCTGTATTTGGACAGTAAGTGATTTGCCTCTAAGCTCCCATCCAGTCGAGCATCCAGTACGATCCAGTACTTACAGCAAAAATGCACGTGATGTATTTCCCAATGCGATAGTGTAGAAATATGAATTGAGAAACATGGAGAAATTTGATCCATTTCAGTTTTCACATCTGCCGCCACGAAAAGATACATAACGAGACTGAAAAACCCGAGGAAAAACCAAATTTAATTGCTGTATTTTCACAAACTTTTTTTGTTTTTGCAAATAAACAGTAGGCTTGTCCAAATTACAAGAGACTCAGAATATACTTGCTTCATGAACACTATGGACAAACTTTTAAAAAACAATTACCTCGACAATTGCCTTTCGAATCAACATTTTACTTATTTAACAAGGCCTGATGATGGACTTATCTTTAGTCCAAAACCGATCGCCTAAAAAGAAAATCTATTAAATAAATATTAAGCCTGTTCCCAGAGTTTCAACTCTACACCATACTTCTCATCATTTATATTACTAATGTTGACAAATTCCATTTGAAAATAGATGTGCTACATGTAACTCTTTTCTTATTTGTTTAGGTTCGGATGACTGACGCGTACTTCAGCGCCCTTTTGGCTAGATCACCAGATTCAAGTGCGGGAATCCTTCATCCTGGGCAAGCTGGATTAGATTTACCACACCATAGGCAACCACGTCATTCTGGAACTTTAGGACATCAAGATAGATCAAGCTCCGCGCCTAATGTGTGCTTAAATAGTACACGAGGGATTGTGGACGATTATCCTCGTTCGTTATCTTTAAATAGAGCCGGTGAATACGACTCTCCCCCTCATTGTAGAAGTACGCAAGCATCACCCACCAGCTCCTCACAACCGGGCTCACGAAGACCAAGAGCACGTTCAGCAGATGAGAGTAAACCATTGTTAGGCCCAAGAGAAAGTATAGAAGATTGGGAAATACCGGCAGATGAAATTTTAGTTGGATCTAGAGTAGGATCTGGTAGTTTTGGAACTGTGTACAAGGCCCATTGGCATGGACCTGTTGCAGTGAAAACATTGAATGTTAAGATTCCTACGGCTTCACAGTTACAGGCATTTAAAAATGAAGTAGCAGTTCTACGTAAAACGAGACATGTAAATATTTTATTGTTTATGGGATGTGTCAGCAAGCCTAAACTTGCTATTGTTACACAGTGGTGTGAAGGGTCTAGCCTTTACAAGCATTTGCATGTGTTCGAAAGCAAATTTGAATTATTCACGCATATTGAAATAGCACGCCAAACAGCACAAGGTATGGATTACTTACATGCAAAAAATATTATACATCGTGACTTAAAATCAAATAATATCTTTCTACATGATGATTTAACAGTTAAAATCGGCGATTTTGGTCTAGCTACCGCAAAAACAAGGTGGTCTGGATCACAGCAGTTTTACCAACCAACAGGATCCATATTGTGGATGGCCCCAGAGGTCATCCGTATGAAAGAAGATAATCCTTACAGTTTTCAATCTGATGTTTACGCTTTTGGTATTGTAATGTTCGAATTACTCGCTGGACAGTTACCTTATTCTCATATAAATAATAAGGACCAAATTCTATTTATGGTAGGTAGGGGATATTTAAAACCAGATCTCATTAAATTGAGATCAGATACTCCAAAGTCATTGCGAAGACTTATTGAAGACTGCATAAAATTTAATAGGGACGAAAGGCCACTATTTCGACAAATTCACGCATCCTTGGAAGGATTTTTAAGAAACTTACCGAAAATTCATCGCTCCGCATCGGAACCTAACATGAATAGAACGCAATTGCAGTCTGATGACTGCTTTATGTACACATGTGCGAGTCCAAAGACGCCCAGTTTCGGACCATCAACTAACTTTTTGTTTTATTCCTCAGGTACGGGAAATATTTAATGCTCTTAGGAGTCGCTTTTAAGCAATTCGATCTCAAGATGTCAATATATATACGCTAAATTATATCTAGATTAAGGGATCTCCTCTTTATACTTTATTTATTCCCCAGTTTCTTATTTCTCTCTTTTAATTTATTATTTCATATGGTTGTGATTGTGTGTACGCGTGTGTGTGTGTGCTTAGCATTAGAACTTAATTGCGTACCTACCTTTAAGTTATTGTAAAATATGTACCTATATTTAAATTATTGTATATTGTTTTGTTTTCATAATAATAAAACTATGAAACATCATAATTTAATGGAAATAGCAACTCTCAATTCAGCATAATTCAGTATAATGTTATGATAACCAAATGAGCTCTAATGATTGTGGAACTGGCTATCTACAAACTTTTGTGCTGCAATAGTTTTTATTTGCCAAAGTAAAAAAAACTCAATTTAGGAATGAGCGTTTAAGCAGCTTGATAACTTTTCTCAGTTACAAAAAATGAGTTGAATTGTGTTCTCTTAAGATAATTTGCGTAATTTATTTTATTGCTCTGACAAACATGCTGAGAAAATGATTTTTCACACAAAAAAACGTGGAATTTTTTTATTAAAAAACCGATAGTGTGTTGCTCTTTTAGAAAAATGTGTCAATAGTCGTGAGGAAATGATTTTTTACTAAAGAAAATAGTATGAAAATTTTGTTAAATCAGAAACAAATACTGCGCTAGGAGTTGCTATACTTTACATTCTCTTTTCATCTAAACAAAACTTGAATACATTAACAAAAGTTATCATGGCCCTAAACTGAATATCACACTCCATGGTATATCAGAAATGAGACATTTTATAGTAATTTAAAATATAAGAACCATCAAAGAATTGCTTCAATAAAAAAATTTTGATTGGGATTCATTTCTTATGGATGGGCAAATAAAACATGGTACCAACGTTTCAACAAAAACCTATCGAAGACGACAATTACCCATCAATATAACATCCTTGTACAAGTCTAGCACAACGATTGGTTTAGCAAAATTGGCTCACTTTTTTTTTAGTAAAACATCAATTTGAGCAGTCTATCGCAACTGATTTTTTAATTAAGAACTAGTTACTCCACATCGCATCACAAGCGTAGGTCAATCTAGTAGAATGTTTAACAAAACAAAACAAAAGTTTTTTTTAAGATAAAAAATTATAAAGCTATCAACACAAAATTTAAGGAGGATAAAAGCATAACGCTAGTAACAAACGATTAATTTTGAAGTGGCTGGTAGTCTGTATGGAAAGGAAATCTTTCTCGTGCCTTTTCTAAAAGGAAATCCGAAATTGTACGCAAACCAATTATTGATTGCTTATAAACAAAAAATATAAGTAGGTACAATGGAAAACTAATATAATTGAATAAAAAACCTTATGGGTAATTTACACGTGTCAAGTAGCTAAAGCAAGTTGCTAAATCAAGAGCCGAATGCACAAAAGTTAATCAAAGCTTAACGGAGCTGTTAACTCATTTGTTTCGATAAAAAAATGACATTTGCCTTGATTAAATTACTTAATTTAACGGAACTGTTAAACCCCGATTAAGCTAGAATTCGTATGCACAAAAAAGAATTTACATTAACGGCGTGATCAAGCAGCCTCTAATCACGGCAAAATTTAACCGGTGCTCGTCGACTGATTAAACGGCAGTGTACATAATTTTCGATTTGAGCTTGTGAAAAGTAATTTTTATAGAAGAATAATTAGGCCTATTCTAATCACTTTAACATAATTTTATTTAAATAGAAAGTATATTCATCCGCTTTTCTCGCATTTTGTTTTATGATGTCATAAAAGTGCTTCAATTGCTTTACTGGTTTTTAGGTGATTGATTCGGAAATGAAATCTTCTGTGACGAACTCCCATGGGCTTGATGTTTCAGAAATGCGGAAGTATCAGAGCTCGTCACTCTGGATTCTACGTATGCTATAAATTAGAAAAAAAGGGAGTATTCGGAATTCATATGACTGTTGGCTTGCAGCATCGAGAGGTGTAAAAGTGAGAAACTTTATCAGGAAGCAGCGCTTAATTTATGATATTTTAGCTACTGTAATAAATTATTCTAGCAGTTAAAAACATATGTTGGAATAATCTGCAGTTTCAATAAAATTAAGCACTCAATGGAAGTTTAACCGGAACTTTTATTGAACGAACCAGGACAGTCGCTAAGTTACTATAATCAGAAGGTAATATTTGCTTATGATTCAATCAATTATTTGCAGTAAATGTTCTCTCTGTACTTCGGTAAAGTTTTGGCCACGGATCTTATTTCCATTGTTAACACAAACATATATAACTCTCGCCAGGAAAGATTGCCGGTCACAGCACACCTTGTGTCGATCTACAATCTATGTTTTTCTTAAGATGCGAGCAACTTCCGGAATAGGATCGTGCCAATGTTGAATGAACAGTCTTTTTGTTCAACATTGACACGATACTATCCCGGAAGTCGCTCACATCTTTAGAAAAACATAGTTTGTAGACTGGGATCAAGTATTCTGTGACCGGCAACCTTTCCTGGCGAGAGGTTTAAATTGACTATTAAATTACAAATAACAAAAAAGAAAAGCCTTATATACGATCCAAAAAGTAGGCTTTCTAAAAAAAATCACACATTTCCATAAAAGTACAACGTTGCCGGCGCCAATTTTTACCAAATACCTGTTAAATCACCTTGGTTAGTTAATCAAGGAGTCTTTTTGTTTTGTGCATACCAATCTAATTTAATCAAAGGTTTAATTTATAGTCCAGTCAAATTAGCTCTAAAAGTAGTATAAACTGGATGTAGTCATTTCACTGAACGAAATCATGAGTATTCTATGTAAAAAAATCCGCTGAATCGGAAAATCATAGTCCCCCTGGCCGGAAACGCCCGGAACATATTGTTATAAACAAAAAACGAAGAAAAAACGAGAAAATGTCGTTTTTTTTTCACATTTGACTGCCAATATCTCGTTAACTATTGCTCTGAGGGAAAAAGTGAATAGAAATGAACTTGTTTAGAATCAAATTTTCTATAAGATACAGTTGGTCCGGAACGCTCATTTTCAACTGTTATTGTGTTTTAGTGAAAAATGTAAAAACAGTAATCTCTAAAATTCACACTTTGTTATTGTTAAGTAAAATTCATTCGATCTTTTTGAAAATCCGTATTTAGTAACTACATTTGATAACAAAACAATATGACAAACTAGATCACCGTAGGTTTCATACTCATTGATTTATTAGATAAACAAGTAGAAAAAGGGATGCTTTGTCTTTCAAACTGGGGGACTACAAGAGCGTTCCCAATTTTTTTATACATAGTGGAACCCTAAAACAATCATTTCCAATAATTGTCCCGATGATTCTTGCAAATCGGCGGACTGTGCAATTTTGTTTTCAAAATCCGAAGAATTTTCTTAGTTAACAAATGGAATAACTCCCGAAATATAACTCTACAATAGGCGAATGTACAGCTCTCGGAAAGCCGTACATTAAAAAAAAATACGTCAAAATCCGATTAATAGTTCACGAGAAATCAGCTTTTGACTTTGAAGCCAGTTTTCGAAACAACCAAAAATGATTTTGCAAATCGGGTCGCACCGATCGATTCTTTACAGCGTGAACTTTTTTTATGCTTCTATTTCACCTAAAAGAATGATTTTTATTAATCTGAGTGCCAAGGGCCGATTATAGAGTTACTTTTCTTGTTAAATCTCGGAAGCTATTCGATTTGTTTGTTTAACTAAAAAAATTCCACAGTCCGTTGATTTGCAAAAATGATTTGGAAAAGATTGTTTTACGGTTCCACTATGTATAAAAAAATTGGGAACGCTCTTGTGGTCCCCCAGTTTGAAAGACAAACTTCTACTTGTTTATCTAATTAATCAATGAGTATGAAACCTACGGTGATCTGGTTTGTCATATTGTTTTGTTATCAAAAGACGTTACTAAATACAGATTTTCAAAAAGATCGGATGAATTTTACTTAATAATAACAAAGTGTTAATTTTCGAGATTACTTTTTTACATTTTTCCATAAATAACAATAACAGTTGAAAATGAGCGGTCCGGACCAACTGTATCTTATAGAAAATTTTATTCTAAACAAGTTCATTTCTATTCACTTTTTCCCTCAGAGCAATAGTTAACGAGATATTGGCAGTCAAATGTAAAAAACACGACATTTTCTCATTTTTTCTTAGTTTTTTGTTTATAACAATATGTTCCGGGCGTTTCCAGCCGGGGGGACTATGATTTTCGGATTCAGCGAATTTTTTTACATAGGATACGCTTGGTGTCGTTGAGTAAGTGACAACATCCAGCCTAAACCGTAATTTGACTGGACTATTAATCATACTGGTTAACTAACGGCCTGATTAGTTATTGTTTGTGCATTCGACCCTAAGTAACTGTGTAAACAGCTTGATTTAGTACTTGCGCAAGTACCTAATTTAGTAAACGGTTTCGGGTTTAGTCAAGTGAATAGAAACAGTTTCTATTTACTGGAGCAAGTGGCCTATCTCACCTTTGCTTTTTAGCAACTAAAACGCTGATTAAACAAGTACAAGCACAGGTTAGTAAGCTGTGGTACAAGTGTAGCTGTAGACAGGTTAGTTTTCAAGTTCATAAGTACAGACTCATATAGAGGTGTCAGATTTTGTTATAAGACGAGCGACCTTCTGCAGCAGTTCATCAAATAACATGAAAATAATTTATTTCTCAAGGGAATATAACATTTAACAAAACAAATCATTTATTTTTGACTGGCTTTCCATTTCAGCAAAATATCTGCAGCTTTTTGTAAGTTTCCATCTTCTTTGATAAAACAATACCTAACAAAATCTTCACTTAAGCTCTTATTTGGTTCGCTGTAGAAAGCAGTTGATGGAATACCCTGTAAACCAACATTTTTTGTCATCCATTTTGTAAATCTGTAATCCTTATATTTATCCTTTTCTGTGCTTAAATCTAAATTTTTTGCTAAAATAAGATTGTTAGAGCTTATTTCTAATGACTATTTGCTTACAGTACCTAGCTGCGAATAGTCTGCCATAATAAAATAGCCACCTTCAGGAATAATGGGTTTCATTCCGGTCTCTGATAGGAATTTCACCATATAATCACGTTTCGTTTCTAATTCTCTGGGTAAAGACACAAAGTAGCAATCGTCTTGACCTAACCGAGGCAATTCGTATTCAAATCCACGGGCCACAGCTTCCTGCAAAGTAAATATAATAAAAAAAGTGAAGCTTGTCATATATGTGAGAAAGTGCAGTACAATTCAACAATTTAAAATCATTGACTTGTATAGATAATGTTAGAAACAGAACCAATACTGTAACTCCGTAAATAGTAATTTTATTAAAGTGTTATAAATAGTGTAATAGCGTTGTAACCATCGACATATATATAAATGGACTG